ATTTTCTTTCTTTTACTAGAGTCTAAGTGAAGATACGCCATATATATCTAAAACAGAATATAACGAATATTTAATTCAATGTCCTACTTTTTAATTTATGTTTATGTTTATTTATTTATGTTTATTTATGTTTATTATGTTTATTTATTTATGTTTATTTATGTTTATAAATTTTGCACGCTATAAAATATTTAAATTGTTGTGTTGGCCTTTGACAAATTTATGTACACCACTTTGACAAATTTATACCACAATACTATGGTTATGGCATGTATAATTTTTGAATCGCCATATTATTGAGTGTACATTTCTGTCATGCGCGAGTGACAACCATTTCACGGATATTGAACAGAACCTATTGTATCTATTTATACTGTGATGCAGTTTACGCTTACGCAAGTTGTGCTGCATCATGGGAAACCAATCTTAGCGTCAAACTAGATCACGTGATCAAAATTAAACAGAATAGTAAAATCTGAATGGTCATTTCTGATCACGTGATCTAGTTTGACGCTAAAAATGAGTGTCAGCATGAAAAATTAGTCTAAAAGACTAGCCACAACTCTGATCCGCCATGTTTTGGCTAAATCCTACGAGAGAAAAAGAAATATACACTATCTCACCAATAACGTATTTTGGTAGCAATATTTTTTATTTTGCATGTGCATTGATTTAAGTGTATTGCATGTGTATTAAACACGTGGAAAGCGTAATAATATACTATTAAATAATAGAGATACTAAAATTGCAAAATATAGTTATAAATTAATTAATTGTGATAAATTAATATAAAAAATAGGTGAATGTTCATTTTTTTACTTAAATTTTATTTTATATTGTAATAAAGTTTGTTTATAATAATAAATGTGTATAATAATTTCTTTCTAAAAAAAGGCATGACATTGCTACTTGCATCTCTCAAAATTCCCTCGAAGTTTATTGTTGATGTTTTTCCGCGATTCTCTCGCTGCGCTAACTTTGTGAATAGCTGTCATTGTATTGATTTCACAGAAGATCGTTTTGGCAATTATGTATCAAAAAGTTAAAAATATTAGTGTAACAGTAGTATAATAGTATTATATTATTATATTATAATTTTTACTCTTATGCCGAAAAAGATAAATAACGAAAAAAAGATAAATAAATAAATAATAAAGATAAATAAATAAATAGTGATAAATTTAAAGTCATTAAAATTAAAGGAAATATATTAATAAATACGATAAATATATTAATAAATTGGCAATATAATTATATAAAATAAAGTTTTATAAATATACACATTTTATTATCTTTAAAACGCTTATGTTTTTAAATTATAATATTACAATTTAAGATTAATGTATTAGGTGTACAAAAAAGTTCTGAGCTTTTTTTGTAAAATTCAATCTTTATTCAAAAACAAACAAAAAAATATTAATCAGTAAAATATTCCCCGTTTGCATCAATGACCTTTTGCCATCTTTCGGGTAGCCATCTTGCGAATTCCTTGATGATAGAAGCTCACCAGCTTCGAAGCGATAGTCATCAATGCATTTTCGTATCTCTTCAAATCTCACGAAATGTGTATCAGCCAAATGATGCTGCAGCGACCGGAATAGGTAGTAATCGGAAGGCGTCATGTTTATGGCTATACGTCGCGTGCGGAAGAAGTTCCCAGCCTAACGCAAAGATATGGTCCTGAGTCGCTTTCGCAACATGTGGTCGAGCATTGTCATGAAACAAGATCACTTTACGACGTCCTTGGCCAGTAAATAGCCTCTTTTCTTCTAATGCATCGCTCAAATTGGTCAATTGTTGTTGGTAGCGGTCTGCCGTGATTGTTTCACCCAGTTATAACAACTCGTAATACAACACACCTTTCCAATCCCACCAGATACAGAGCAAAACCTTCTTGACATAGATATTGGGCTTTGGCGTCAATGTCGAAGGTTGACCAGGGTCAACCCATGATTTTCTACGTTTAGGATTATCATAAAGAATCCACTTTTCATCGCCTGTAATGATTTTGTACAGAAAATCTTTTTTCCGGAACTTTGAAAACAAAGTGAGTGCAGTGTCACGCCGACGATTTTTGTTGTCTTCGGACAATTCATGCGGAACCCATCTGCCTTCCTTCTGAACCTTTCCCATCGTATGTAAACGTACGGAAATGCTGCGTAACGCCAAGCTGTTCTGCAAGCTCCTTTTCAGTTTGCGCAGAGTTTATATCCAGCAGTGCTTGCAATTCGTCCGTTTCAATCTTTTGAGGGCGTCCAGCACGCGGTTCATCTTCAAGACTGAAATCTCCTTGGCGAAATTTTTGATACCATCTTTTACATGTAGTATGACTTACAGCGTTCTCTCCATATGCAACACAAATCATTGCAGTGGCTTCAGCAGCATTTTTCTCAAATGAAACGCGAAGTGGATGGAAAATCGAATATGCTCTTTTGTTATTGCCATCGTGAACACTATTGATTTTTGAGGTTATGTGCATCAAACGCCAAACCGTATAGCATTTTAGAAGGCCAAATGTCAATGCTTTAAAACCGCAAAAGGGCGGGAAGATATATAAAATTTAAATTGTTATTTCAGTTGTATGAAATCTAAAGCTCAGAACTTTTTTGTACACCTAATAGTTAATGTATTTGAAAATAAATATTAATGTAATAAAAAATCAATAAAACTATAGAATTTTTCTATATTTATGAGAGTCGCAGATGTCTATACTAAACTAGATTGCTAACATGTCATTATCGAGATAGCGTGGGTTGTGTCCGACACGGTTTCCGATGTATGCGAGAAAATAGCCGCTGCTGCCACATATTTAGAATAGTTATTGCGTGTAATATTCAACAAAGTTTTATAATAATTATTCACTCAAATTGTGTAAATTACAAAATTAATATTTATTTTAATTGTTGAGTAATCAGAAAGCCTATTTAACTGTGATAAATAATATTTAAAAAACATACATTAAACTTAATATATTGTAAAATTCTTGTAATTTTTGAATTTAAATAAAGTAACCGTTTGTCAGGAATTAATGTCCGTTTTTATAATTATTGTCTATGGTTTAATACACGCACTGAGAGAGATGACCGGCACGTGTTGGATAATGGAGCAGGCACAATACTTTTCAACAACTTTAATGCGGTTTATCTATATTTTCACTGAGTTTATCCGTAATACAACGATTAAACCGATATCGCCTGTAACGATATCTCGATTATATTCACTACAATGGTTTCGACTATACGACTTGAACTCTCGCGGATGACACGTCTGTCTCATTCGCCGATTAGGGAGAGAGTCCTCGTCGCTCGCTGCTCCGCGCATCGGAGCACGTTCGGTGATTTCAAAGCTAACAAAGATTGCATCAGCCCTTGTCTGATTGGTCCTTTCCTAGTGTTACGTCCCGAGATGGTGTAGAACGGTTAATGGAATTTGGGAAAGGACATCTAGTGCATCTATGTTCAATGGCGGCGCTGGATACGATTACAAACTATATTTTCGGATTAGAAGCCGCGACCGAGCAGAAATCGCGGGGAAATATGTTTTATTAATATAATAATCGGGCTATGGTATTGTATTGTAAAGTTACGATTGTTGGTATAATTGGTTATGAAATTACGATTCAAAGTTATTTAATGTGGCAGGAAGGAATTAATTCTTGGGTTGTTGTAAAATATAACACGAATAAATAGTTAAATTATTATTAAAATAATAATAATAAAGAAAATAATAATGATAATAATATAATGATAGTGATGAAATACAGCTTAATCGATATAAAAATATGAAATATGTAATAATAGTGAGATAAGATGTGAATATGATAATTAAATTCTAAGTTATCTTTGCAATTCATATAAATAATGATATTAAAACGAAGTGAAAATCAACAATATACTATAAGCAAATCAAATAATATAATATAAGAAAATCAGTAATATAGTGTAAGTAAATCGAATAATATAATATAAGAAAATCAAATAATGTAATATAAGAAAATCAGTAATATAATATAAGTAAATCGAATAATATGATATAAGAAAATCAAAATAATATAATATAAGAAAATCAGTAATATAATGTAAGTAAATCGAATAATATAATATAAGAAAATCAAATAATGTAATATAAGAAAATCAGTAATATAATATAAGTAAATCGAATAATATAATATAGTATTAGAAACAATGGTTACCTTAAATTGTTAGAGGTAAGTTATTAAATGAATTAGAATTCTAGTGACTTCGTTTTCCTTTCCTTTACTTTTCCTTTGTGATTGTAAGATTCAGCGGTTTGAGATAGTGACTGCACTCTCTGACAGTTTGGTAACAACTGCGTTCTTCGGAGGTTCGCTCACCACTGCCCCGTCCGCGCCTAAGCCGTACCTCTAGAGTTGGGCCAGGCGCAAAGGGGAGGGGCAAACAAAGCACTCCTCGACTGAGCATTTATTTTGTACTACAATTATTTATGAGAAAATAGGAAAATAAAAGAAAGGGAAAGGAGAAAATAAAAAAAACTAAACCTAATATTTCGAAGATATCATTAATGCTTAAAGGTAAATCTTATTATTCAAAACGAGAATTCATTTTCCTTCGTCTCGCGATAGACATAATTTTATTTTATTACTATTATTATTGTTTTCTTTTGGATGTATAATTTGGAAATATAATTCTATAACTTAATTTTCTTTTCTCGAATTATCTCCTCTTTGTTCTCGATGCTGCAACTGTAGGAGAGACGAAAGAGCGTTCGATAGCCTTAGTTTATACTATAGGGAAGGCTTATCGCACTCAAATATTTCTAATGTAAACTTTCAAACGAAGGGCCAACTCGGAGAGCCTTTCGTTGCGCAGCAAAATTTAACTGACGACGAAAATGAATTAAATGAATTCTCGCTTTACTATTGATTATCTTAATAATAATAAGAATTATACATAAAAAAAAGAGGAACACACATATATATAAAATGGTAAGACTATGAAAGTTGTATCCTAATACTTAAATCTTAATATTTAAAATCTCAATATTTATAATCTTATATCTTAATATTTAAAGTTACGCATGCGTTAACCTAAGGTTCGACTGCACCTACATCATTTTGGATGAATGTCCGCAAGTTTTAATTTTCTGCGGACGTTACACTAGTATCA